TTGCCAAATTGGACCTGGCCCAGGCTTATCAACAATTACCAGTTGATGAGCCGACGGCCATGGCCCAAACCATTGTCACTCATAGGGGTGCATTTAAATGCACCCGGCTTCAGTTCGGAGTGAGTGTCGCCCCGGGAATATTCCAAAGCATCATGGAACGATTGCTTCAGGGAATTCCCGGGGTGGTACCCTATTTTGATGATGTCTTGGTCTCCGCTGGAGACCAAGCTGACCTCTTAAACAAGCTTCGGACCGTTTTTGGCCGTCTGCGCAGCGCCGGCCTCCGCCTTAAGAGATCAAAGTGCGCTATAGGAGTTCCCCAAGTGGAATTCTTGGGGTTCCTCATTGACGCTCGGGGAATCCACCCTACCCCCTCGAAGGTCGCGGCTATTAAAAACGCCCCCACGCCCACCTGCAAGGCGGAGCTACAGGCGTTCCTAGGGCTCCTCAATTTTTACTCCATTTTTTTGCCTCATAAGGCATCCCTTGCCGAGCCCCTCCACCGTCTCCTAGACACTAAGTCGCCCTGGGGGTGGAGTCGCGCTGCTGCTACGTCATTCCAAGCTGTCAAAGACGCGCTGACGTCTGAGGCAGTTCTCGTCCAATACGACGAGAGCTTACCCTTGTCCTTGACTTGCGACGCCTCGCCCTATGGCATTGGCGCCGTTTTGAGTCACGTCTTTCCTACAGGCCTCGAGGCGCCAATCGCCTTCTATTCCCGTACCCTTTCTGCTCCGGAAAGGAACTATAGCCAATTGGATCGTGAGGCTCTGGCGGCTGTCGCCGGAGTCAAACGATTCCATCATTATCTTTATGGCCGTTCCTTTACCCTGGTCACCGACCACAAGCCCCTTCTGGGGTTGCTGGCCGGTGATCGGCAAACCCCGGTCATGATTTCGCCCCGCATGTCCCGCTGGGCGGAGTTTCTGGCCGGGTATTCCTATCACCTGATTTACCGGCCTGGCTCAGCCATCGCCCATGCCGATGCTTTGAGCCGGTGCCCGGTGCCTGGCCCGGCCTCTGATCCGGCTCCCGCCTCATCAGTCCTCCTCGTTGAGGACTTCGATTTTCCCCTGACCGCTTCAGACATCAGCGCGGGGTCCTTGGCGGACCCGGCCATTTCCAAGGTTTTGGATTGGGTCCGCAGGGGTTGGCCTAAGGGTCCCGCACCTGCAGATCTCATCCCCTTTTTCCGACGACAAAATGAGCTGTCCACCCAAGGGGTTGTCTCCTTTGGGGAAATAGGGTCGTTGTCCCTGAGGGTTTACGGCACCCCGTTCTGGCCCACCTACACAATGCTCATCCGGGAATCGTCCGCATGAAGGGGCTGGGCCGCAGCTATGTATGGTGGCCCGGCATGGACGGTGATATTGAGCAGTGGGTGGCTATGTGCCCCCAATGCCAAGCGTCCCGGCCTGTTTCCCCGGCAGCCCCCTCCAGGGAGTGGGAGGTTCCCCGGGCGCCATGGGCCCGAATCCATATGGATTTCGCTGGCCCCTTCCAGGGTCATACATTCTTAGTCGTCGTAGATGCCTACTCTAAATGGGTAGAATTAGCTCTTATGCATTCTACGACGACTGAAGCTGTCATCCGGTGCTGGAAGGATTGTTCGCGACGCATGGTCTACCCGATACCATAGTTAGCGATAATGGACCTCAGTTTACGTCAGCACAGTTCCAACGGTTTGTGGCTAAGCTGGGCATTCGCCATACGACGACGGCCCCTTTCCATCCGGCCGCGAATGGACGGGCGGAAAGGGCCGTGAGATCGGCTAAAGAGGCGCTCAGCCGCCTGGGCACCACTAATTGGCATCAGAAAATCGCCCAATACTTATTAGCCCAGCACACAACACCGTGCCCAGATTCCAAAACGAGCCCGGCTGAAATGCTTATGGGCCGACGACTCCGGACAGTTCTTGACAGATTACACCCTGCCTACACACCTGAAATCACAAAGGGCTTTACGCCCCATTGCTGGGCATTCACGATTGGCGACCCTGTCTATGCACAAAACTTCGGGACTGACAATAAATGGGTGCCGGGCCACATATGCCACTTAACCGGACCCTACTCTTATAGGGTCCAGCTCGAAGATGGTCGCATCTGGAGGCGGCACGTGAACCAACTGCGGAGGAGGATACCTTTAACAACTGACCTTCCCTGTAAGCAAGCGACGTCAGCGGGTGACGAGAGGCCACCGCGCATAACCAGCAATACCCCTTCACCTGCTAGCGGACTACAACCCGATGCGTTCTCGTCGGTCCACTCACCTGCTCAATTCGGGTCTCCCGCGCCGGCTGTCGTGCCGCCCACTCTGCAATCGCAACCCAATGGTTCCCACGAGGACAGCGTCCCGGCTCCGCCTTCGCCAAAGGCCGGCCCAGAACTGCGGAGATCGGGGCGGAGCCGACGCCGGCCTACGTATTTAAAAGATTACGCATGCGCTGTACTGGTGGGAAGGGGTGTTACGTCTTCAGCAAGTTGACGTATGGTTTTGCATGTTGCTACCCGTTCCTGATTGGTTGAAGCTTCCGGAGTTACTGAGCGGGAAGTTGCGCGACCTCCGATTGGTCGCTCTGCTCTGACAGCTGGCTATTTAAGCCGCTGTCAGCCAATATTGTTCTGTTCTGTATTTCTGTTGTTACGAGTTGGTTGTTACTTAATAAAGGATCGTTCTAACACTCTCTAGCCCATGCCTTTGTTCTGCGAATAGAGCAGTTGCAGGCCTTGAAAAGCTTCATTTGTTGATCCTGACAGATTAGGGCTATGAGTTCTGACATTCAAGAATCTTGATGACCATTAAATGATCACTAAACTATAAACATGAAGTAGTTTCCAAACTAGGCGATCTAACAATAGTGAACATCTATAAACCACCTCTAACAGCATGGTCACAGCATGTGGTGAAAATCAAGCCACATCCAACAATCTACAAAGGCAACTTCAATAGCCCTCACATTAATCGGAAATACTATTCCACTGATGACAAAAGCAAACTATTTTCCAATTGAGCTACAACAAACAAAGTCCAACTGATTTTCGATGCTGAAGACAAGAGCAAGTTTAAATTGGCAGCACAGAATTGCGAAACCAATCCAGACTTGTGCTTCATCACAGAAGGCTCAAACTTACAGCCAGTCCCCATAAACAGGAAAGTAGAGGATATATTCCTGCATACCCAACACCATCCTATCTTGCTAGAAGTTGGGCTCCAATTTCCCCTAATTCTTTCTACCCCTAGACTCAGATGGAACTTTCAAAGAGCCAACTAGACCAAATTTGCTGAAAATCTTGATAAAACTCTACAGTAGATTCCACCAAGTAGTCAACACTATCATAGATTCATGAAGACAATAATCATCTTGGTGAAAAGCTCTATACCTTGAGGATTTAGAAGAAAGTATATCCCAGGATGGAATGAAGAGACTGACGGACTCTTTAGATACAAGATTCCAAGAGAGAGAGAGAGACAAAAGACTGACTAAAAAATGAATAAATGATGGTTTTAAAAAGGTTAAGAGATGATGGATAATGAGAAAATATATTAATAAAATGGGAAAATACAAATAGGGAAAATAGTTGTATATATATTAATAGATAATATAACTTATCACAACTAAAATAAGATTAGTAGATGGAAATTTAGGATTAGGTAATTTAATTGTATTAGTAATATTAATACTGTGTTAAAGTATATTGTGCATTTAAAATATTAAGGATTAAAAATTGTGGAGATTTTGAGATACATTGATTGATTAAATATTGTTATTATTTGGCGTTATTAGTAATCCTACACATTTTGAATATTTAAGTTATGGTGGAACAATGAGTAATTCTTAAAATATTAAATAATAGTAATTTAGTAGGGGAAAACAAATACATGGTGTAAAGAAATGTTATCTATGTTTAAATGAATTAATGGGGAAAATGATAAAGGATTATGAAGAGAGAATAGTATTGTTGAAATTGGAAGATTAGGATTATATATATTTGTTTGTATTATTATTGTTAGCGTTGTTTAAAAAAGACTTGACCCAGTCAATACACTGTCCACAAAATATGTATGAAATTATTATACTAAAAAATTTAAAAAAATATTTTTAAAAAAGAGAAAATTCTTCACTAACTGGAAGCTTATTCCTAGCGTCAGGAAAGCAGTAACTACATACTTCCATCTTAACAACAAATTAGCATATGAAGCCCCAAAGGTCTACTTAAAGAACAACTTATTCCCCTTTAACCCCATCCAGAGTAATATTGGACCAGATGTATCCTATAAGATACATCTCGGGAATACACTGGCAAAAATCAATACTAGGAACAACATCCTCCAGAAATTATGCAGAACTAAATGGGGAGCTTTAACTGCCATCCTTAGGCCATCAGCACTAGGGTTGGTCTACTCTGCAGCAGAATACTGTGCCCCCGTATGGCTTAACAGCTGCTATACTAGTAAATTAGATGCCAGACTCAATGACACCATAAGGATTAATAGCGGATGTATTAAAACCACTCCGACTTGCTGGCTTCCTGTTCAGTGACCCATATATCACCACAAGCTTTACAAAGGCAAGATGCACTAGCGAGAAAATATAGAAAAGTTATGAACAACTCACTCCTACCGATGCAGGCCGACCTTCCTCATTGGAAGACTCATTGGAAGACCTTCCTTGGAAGACTCAAATCCAGGGAGCCCCCATTGGCACTTTCACAACATCTGCTCAACAACTTTAACATCACTTTCCCAATGGAAAGCCAAATGGATCACTGAACATCCAGACATAGGAAGACATAAATGACCCAACAAAAAAGGTGCCAGGCTTTGAACTATCATGCTAGCAATGGACAATCTTGAATAGGATTCATACCTCACATGGCATATGACAGGACTCATTGCATAAATGGGGCATACCATCCTCCTCTCAGTGTGACTGCGTGGTCCCACATCACAATGTAGATCACAACATGACTGGCTGTAAATTGAGGGGCATATACCGGTCCAGTGGCTGATTTCTTTCATATAACAATGATGCACTACAATGGTAAGATGGCAAAAAAAATGGTATTTGAAAATAGATCTTTTTAACATTTATATTTTTTTGTGTTTTATTAATCTAGATTAAGTAATATATATTGCAAGTCCGTGCATGATATGTCATATGCTAAATAAATAAATAAACCACTAAAGGGCATTAAAGATATGTAAGAAATTCTACATTCTTGTCATCTAAGTAATTTCCCAGATTTCTTCAACTTAACTCCAGATGTGCTAGAAGATAATTACTGGAATCTCAGCCAGTGTGGCATATCCTTGTGTCAGTCACAAAGTTAGTATCACCCATAGTTTAGATAAATGGAAAGCATTTAAAATAGGTTTTTTATAGTTAAAAATTAAAATTTAATTTTTTAAATTAAAAAAACTGCTTATTTGTAAGCATTGAATATTTAAAAGAGGAAATAGATAAACTGACATGCCACCTAACACAAATATAAAATGATAAAAGTGAAGTGTCAATTAGATTTCAGGCTACTGGTTTACATTTTCATTATAATTTAATAACTGGAACACATAATTTTTTTCAGACTGAATTGGCTCACAACTGGAAGGTTCTTCTGAATTCTTGTTGACTACTATTCTTCTACTGGAAGAGGCTGTTGGAGAATCTTCACAAAGTTACATCTTGTATATTAACTCAAGCCATTTCTGAACTGGAAATTTTTCTCATGGCTACTTATGCCATCATCACCTCAAACTGTACCACTGCAATTTGTCCTATGTAGAGTTATCCTTGAAGATTATTTGGAAGCTTCAGCTGGTATAGAAAGCAGCCTGTATAATTATGGGCATTTTGAAATCTGCCCATGTAATACTGTTATTTTGGGAATTGCCGTGCTGCCAGTTAGCTTCAGAGTGGAATTCAAGAACCTTTTCTGGATTGAATCTGCCTGTTCAATAAGACCAGGAAGGGAAAACTAGTTAAGACATCTTCAGAAATCCTGAGGGTGAGCCTTCTTAGTGATGTCCCTCCTTCAATGATCCAGTCTGAATCAAAAGCTGGGAGTCCCTAGCAACAGGGTGGGACTTAACAATTATGACAGACTCAGTCCTTCAATCTGAACAGATGAGTACAACCCATGCCTGACTGCTGTCTCCACCCACAATGGAGAACTAGTTAAGACATCTTCAGAAATCCTTCTTAGTGATGTCCCTCCTTCAATGGAATAGATTATCTTTGTATATCCTATCTACTAAATGGAAATAAATAACTGGCTCCTTATTTATTAGATTTATATCTTGCCTTTATTTTGTACAACTCAAGATGACATACATTATGTTCCTTCCTATTTTCTTCACAACAACCACCCTGTCTGACGGTTGAGTTTATACAAAGTGACTGGCTGAAAGTCATCCAAAAGGTTTCTGTGCCGAAGGGCTCATACTCTGCCATTTTCTAGTTCAGAATCTTAACCTCCATCTGCTCCTGCTCTCAGGATGCAATAATACCTTGTATAATGGGTTATACTTATAATGTTTTGATAGGAAGACTTAATTTAATGAGATAATTTGTGTGAACTGCCTTTGAATAAAAACTCTATTAATTAAATATGTGATGGAGTGCACAAATATTTCAAACAGCTCAATGGAGCTGGTGTTATCTCCCCAACCTTTCAGACAGAGATATTATGAAAACTACATCTCTTTCTGCTAGAGAGCTTTTCCTCCTGCAAATAAAAAAATCAATTGCATTTTGGCCCATGATCTGGAATGGAGAAACCCAAAATCATGGCCACAAAGTAGTTGTCTTTGTGCTTAATCATGTTCACTTTTAGAAGTGGTAGCCCTGTTCCAGAATGGACGATCGTGTCCTATAACAAGTGAGCATCTGTCTTTTATTGAAACTTAAATGTGAATAAATGAAATTTTTCCTCCTAGCATTCAAAGCAAGAACAAATTTGAATGTTATCACTCACTGCTGATAGAACTTCCTTAGATCCAATTCAAAATCCTCCACAGAGCTTTATCTCTGATAAGTAGTTTGAGATAATAGTGTCTACAAAGAAAAGAAACCCACATCCATCAAAAAGGCTAAAAATATTATTTAAGAACATTACCTTTTGGCATCTCTTGCTGTTCAAAATGAAGAATGTATTGTCTTTAGTGACTGCTCTGAAGTCAGAATGAATTTTAAAAGCAGAATGCACCTTTTGTCTATCTCAGCGCCTTAGGAGTTTTAAGAAAATAATTATACCATTTATTTATATCACCGTTTCCAACTTCCCCTATCTTTCAACTTCTCTAAATGAGTCATGCATAGGAATTGCAAGATGTTTTGTGGTTTATTTATTTATTTTTATTTAGAAATTGCCCATGTCCCTTACAGATGCCTGACTTAAGGACCACATATTATTTTCTAGGAAGACAAATGAGTTTTACCCTTCATCCTGTCACTATCCCTGACAAACAATTCTAATTCATTCATTAAAGGATTGTATTATTCTTTGCCATCTTTTCCCTTTTCACTACTTGAAATTTACTACATTCTTATAGTCTTTATTTTAGCTCCAACTTTCATTTAATTCAGACTCAAAAAGGAAAAGCTATGGGCATTTTATGAAGCAAATTTTAAACTGATTGATAAGAAATTTTATTTATGCATATTGCCTCAGGAAAAAGCTTAGTACTTTTTTGCAGTAGTTTGCACTCCAAGCTTGTTTTAATTTAGTTTCTGAACGTTTCATTACCAAACTAGTTAACATCATCATCAGGATTTTCTTGTCCTATTTGCCTTAGCTTATAAATGTCTTATAAAAGCTTACTTACATGATCATAAAAGTCTTGGGATAAAATTGTTTACATGGTCAAAAATGAAATGAAACTTCTCCAAGTAAACATTCTCTTAAAAAGTGAGAAACATGTCCACAACATGCAGCAAACTATAGTTATAACATTAGGGTCACTTTGCTATTATCTAAGTCAGGGGTGTCAAACTCAACTTCATTGAGGGCTGCATCAGGGTTGTGTTTGGCCGGGGGGGATGGAGTGGGTGTGGCCAGGGTGGGCATGGCCAGCTCGTCGTCACTTGAAGTGCCTGTGGTGGCCTGAGCACTCTGCCAGCAAAAATGGCCTCCCGAGCTCTGTTTTTGGCTGGGATGGCCTCCTGCAACCCTCTGCCAATGAAAACGGAGCTTGGTAGGGATGTCCGCAGCCCTCCTGAGCTCTGTTTTTGCTGGTAGAGGCACTGCGGGCTGGTCCTTTGCTGTTTCCAGGGTGGCCCCATGGGCCAGATCTGGTCCCCGGGCCTTGAGTTTGACACCCTTGATCTAAGTAGTTATCTGCATTTTCCAACTTCAGATATGGTAGTCCTAATGAAAGGAAAGGGACATAATTAAATCAGAGCAAATCATTTCAAATATACCCATAGAGCTGAATGATATTATTATTAATTCCAATTTAGTTTAAGCACGTAGATCTTTAAGAATGTTGCCCAAGTGAGTACTGGATAATTGTTTCAACATTCATATGCTGCCAGTAGGCTTTGTGTATAAGGCTAAACCATTCTGTCACTAGTACAGCCAACAGAAATGACAAGAGTGATACTCCAAGAAAAGTGGAGGGCATTCAGTTGGAAAGATAGGGTAGATCTTTTGTAGCCCTTGGTGAAAATAGAGAAATTGACCCAAAGATGAACATCCTACATAAAAATTATATAGCAGGAACATTAGCACATCTATATTACAAAAATCCAGAAAGAGTTATGCGTTTTCTAACTAGTGATCATTCAAATGTTTGCAGCACATCTCTGGTAGCTCGACCTACAGAGGATGAGGTTGGAGATAACCTAGATTCAAATGCTATGCTCAGTGGTGGGTTTCAAAATTTTTTACTACCGGTTCTGTGGGTGTGGCTTGGTGGGCATGGCATGGCTTGGTCAGTGTGGCTTGGTGGGCGTGGCAGGGGAAGGATACTGTAAAATCTCCATTCCCACCCCACTCCAGGGGAAGGATACTGTAAAATCTCGATTCCATTCCCAATCCAGGGGAAGGTTACTGCAAAATCCCCATTTCCTCCTGATCAGCTGGGACTTGGGAGGCAGAGAATAGATGGGGGCAGGGCCAGTCAGAATTTTTACTACCAGTTCTCCGAACTACTCAAAATTTCCGCTATCGGTTCTCCAGAACTGGTCAGAACCTGCTGAAACCCACTTCTGGCTATGCTCTATATCCTATTTTCCTTCTGTCAGACCTGGGCAAGGACACAGTGGGAAAAAACAGTAATAGCCCCACATGACCTAAAAAGCAGAGTTTCATTAATATAACAAAAGGCCATTCAGTAAGAATTCCTTCTTTCTCTCTTTAAAGAACATTCTTTCCTTTTCCTTGCTGTTTTAACCTCACCCATTATTTCTCACTGTTGCCAGGTTAAAGTAGAATTTCACACTGAGCAATATGGTGTTTCTTTGAATGCAGGTTATTAAAAGAACACAGGAGCATGCATGTGCTCACATACATTCGTAGAACCAATAACATATCCTCTTAAGATGGTAAACCTAAATAAGCTATGCTTTAGAAAAACAGCAGCACTGAGGGTTTTTTCATGGTTGCTAGCGGTTTCTTCATTGCTAGAAAAACAAAATTTTATTCCCAACAGCACCAGATTTTAGCCTTTAAAAAACTTCTAACATACTCAAAATCTGTTAAATTCTCAGAGAACAAGGGCTACTTTTCATAAAAGCAGTCCTAATGAAAAAAAAACCAAGGCCAAAATATTCTGTGTTAATAAATTTAAATAGTAAACTCATGGAGAACCTTCTGATACTGACATGATAAGAACAAGTCAGAAAAACAGACTAATAATTTTTTGATTCAATCCTTTAGATTAAAACAATGAATTTCGAAATCCTGCTATTGTACTGCTTTGTGTTTAGGCTACCTGTACAAATGGGTAATCATGAAGGTGCTGAATATGACAAGGAATATATGGTATTTTAACTTGGTTATTAGATATGGTAAAAAATGGATGATCTCCTGGAACAGTGGTATATTATGGACTAACAAAATAAAATCATTTGTGTAACTTTTTGAAATGATTTAGTTCTAAAAGTTCTTTGGGTTCTATCCAGAGCTTCTCTAGAATAATTATAATTATTTTTTTATCTTGGGCTTTGCATTAAGAAGCCACACTACTATTCTTTAATTTATTCTTCAGAATCCTTCAACAGTAAGGTTAAATGCATGCTGGGTTTGATACTATTGTAAAGGGTGGCATCTAGGTACATTTCTTAAGGAAATATTATTGATTTTTCATTAACATAAACATATGTTCACTGAAAAAGCTCAGGGTAAATAGAAAGAAAATAAGTTGGAAACCATGGTTGACAGAGAAAAAGCTAGATTGTGGGGTCCTTCATTCTCTCTGATCTTGATGGTTTTCTTGAAGATGTTTCATTACCAAACTAGGGAACATCATCAGTGTTGTCGTCATCATCATCATCATCATCATCATCATCATCATCATCATGATTATTTCTCTCCTGTCTGATTATGTACACATAATTTATTCAAGCTTTCAATCATTCATAGATGCAAAGCCAAATCATATGCCAAAGACCATGAATAACTTAGCATACATTTAGTACACACTATTAGTTTAATAGTGTGTACTGATTTCAAATCAGACTGGATCAACCTGCAATAAACTTTTCCCACTTTACTCTTTTGCAAACCCTTTATTTCTACACAATTTTCCACTTTGCCTTTACACACCCTTGAGTATCACAGACAGTCTGCATTAACATTTTTTTTTTTGGAAAAACAGCAACACTTTGATAAATTGATAAAATAAAGATTTGCCTTTTGGCCTCATCACCAGTAAAAACACCTGTGTAGCAGATTAACCTTATAGTTTCTCATGGTATTTTTCTCCCATAGCTCAAATTTATCATGAAGGCAAGTAAGTAAATTAACAAGCTTTCTAGTTGCAGGGTTTATGAAATCTCATACATACAAGAAATATTTCCCATACTCTTCCCTGGAATTTAGAACAGATTATTTCATGTCTAAGTGCTATAAATATATTATAGACTTATTTGTACAAAACTCTCAAAATAATCCTTTCAAAAAAAATTTATTTAGCACTGCAAACATAAATAAAAAGACAGTGGAATCATATATTGGGCTAAACCAGAAGACAGTGTGTTTTGATTTTGATATAATATAATATGAATCCACCTCACTGTGGCTTTTTCAAGCAAACCATAGTTAAATCTTGTATGCTCCC